TTCGTATATATGACAGTTGTAGTGTCCTGGGGTCACCTTTTGTGACCTTCTGACAAGCAAAGTCAATGGGGAATCCAGATTCACTTAACAACCTGTGTTACTAACTTGACAACTGCTGTGTTTCACTTAACCGTGGAAAGAAAGGTCGTAAAATGGGCAAAACTCACTTAACAAATGTCTTATTTAGCAAGATAAATTTTGGGCTTAATTGTGGTTGTAACCCAAGGACTACCTGTATTCCATATCCATGTGATGATATTCAAATGTACATACAGTAATGTACATGACTACAGGTGTAGTTACAGAATTATTTTGCTGGTGTAGTTTTTGCATGTTAGAGAGAGACATGGCTTAATGTAAGGTGTTAACTTTTAACATCTGGCAGAACATTAATTTAAATATCTCATCATGCAAACTTGATTCTATTTATTTTAAAATTTTTGATTCATTATGAAACTTGGAGATAAAACAGAGGAAAATATATATGTCAGTAGCTCCTACTGGAAAAGTAAGATGCTCACACTTAAAAGGTAAAGCAATTGTACTTTATTTCTCAAGAACTTATAGACTTGAGATTTTTATTATTAAATATTTTTTATTTACAGATTTTTTACATAATTAAAAAATTGATAATAAAACTGTCCTTTCAAATGGTTTAATCAGTTATATTGCATCTATTTGTCCGCTTGAACAAAAGAAGCAAACACACTGCCTTCTTTTTCCAGCAGAACTTCTGGTTTGTCATATTCCAAAATAACTCCTCTCTTCATGACAATAATCATATCAGCATTTAGAATAGTGTGCACCCGGTGCTGTAAGACAAACAGATACAGTTAAAATTTTAATTGCAACATATAACTATTTCTGAAAGGTACAAAGTCTTCTCCAATTAAACATCTTTCATATATTTTGGAATGCAGGCCCCATAACTGCCAAATAGAATGATCATTATTCTATTCAAAATACACATTTCAGAAAATAATATACTATTTTGGCTGAATTTTTTTTCCACTCTGGTATGCAAGTTGTTATCACTTTATTTTCATCAAACCACATAATATACTCACTTCACAGAGAATCTTACACTAGATTTGTTTTTGAAATCAAAAAGGTAGTCTTGGTTTGTTATTGTTAAAGAACAAGATAACTTTAATCTCTACGGTGTTATGTTAATTCCGTTTTCACATTATTAATTTGCTTGTTGACTTTATATTATTTTATTGGTTGCATTGCTGGAAAGATATAAAATTAGTCAGCCATATTCCATTATTGTGTCCATTTACAGAGAATTATGGACAATTTGGTTCCTTATTGATGTGCAAATGTGTCTACATAAAGTGCAATAAAAGGGATACTGCGTTTGAAACAGGAAATAAATAGGCTCAGAGTTACAAATCGATAACATTTCAGCAGTAAAATATAATATACTTACTGCAATTGTCACTACTGTACGATCAGCAAATGCAGTCATTGCAACCTTCTGAAGAATGTTTTCCTACAGAAGTAGATAACATGTCAATTAATGAAATCCCTTATATACATGGAAACACTGAGCAGTATTTCAGTAATCAGTAAATTATTTTGCCTCCTTATAAAACCATTATGGAACGTTTGAAACCCTGAACTTACAGTTGCCATATCAATAGAGGCTGTAGCTTCATCCATGATTAAGATACTTGTTTTCCGTACAAATGCTCTGGCTAAGCAGAACAGCTGTCTTTGCCCTTGGCTGAAATTTTCTCCACCTTCTGTGACTATTGCATCTGATTAAAACAAATATTTAGAAAAGGAAAGTCACAAGGAAAATCATGGATATCTCCCTTATACCAATTCATCACTCTTAAGTCTCGCTTTCTCATACACAAACATTACTTATATTATGCAACCTTGTATTCCTGAATATGTTATTTCCATTTAATTTCCCAATTCATATATCATGTTCCTGTTCCTTATAGCCATATACACAATTACACTATTTGTATACTATAGATACAGATCTCTTCGACCAACATGCGAAACCACAACTAACAGACAGATGGCCGGGGACTGATATTACAACGATCAGGTTTGCCTCCTTTGTTTTGTTTTCTCCGTATCCCTGCAAGTTTTTTTCCCCACTTCTGTCTTATGAAAGGAGAAATGAACTCCGAACTTCAGCTGACAGGATAGGCTTGAAATGCAGTTAATAGACATCTTACTTCACTGCTTCTTGAACCCATTGAGGATACTGTCATCCCATTGCATCATGACAAGTGCAATGGATAGAGGATTTCATGCCCCAGTAACATTTTAATTTAATGGCTGCTATTCTTCAAGGCAGTCTGAAAGCCATTGCAGATATAATTGCTAGGATTCTAAGGAGAAGCTAAGGAGCACCCAGGCTCTGATTTTCAGGCTTGGCTACCTACAAGCTTGCATGATAATTGCCTACAAGCTACCAGCTGCAACTGAATGCATAGATTCTTGGGTATTACACCATTAAATGCTTTTGAGCCCCAGTATTTAGGAAGGGGGAATGGCCTGTTGATGTAATAAATGTGGGACANTGTGGCTTTGATATATTTCCTGGGTGGAAAGATCAGAAAACAAAACAGGCCTAACAGTGAAAAGGTTTTTCACATACAATCGTTCTGTTCAGTTTTATTTCTGGATTGCTGCTCTTCACACTTCATCAGAGACTGCTCTAAAGGTTCCCTGAGTTTTCGGAATTGGACAACTGCCATAAAGCAGGAAATCTCTGAAGAAGATCCTGAAGTTACTTTTGTCTTTGAATCTTTTCCTTGGGTATTATTTCTGACGCCCATCTATAGTTAATTAAGACTGAAACTTCATCCTCCTGACCTCAGGAATGACGGAGAAAAGATTTGCATGCTGTTTCTTCAAAATAAACTTGAATGTTTTGACTTGTAACTTGCTTGTTTTCTTTCTTTTTTATATCACAATTAACTCCTGTGGCTAATTATACCTTTTAATAAAGGGCAAAATATATATCCTCAAGATTGGCTAGTTAATTATTTAAAGTATGCAATGGCTTATTCAGCCTCTAGAATAAGGGGGGTTTGCCAGAAAAAGCGTTCTTATTTTATGTGGTTTGAGATATGGAAAGGGAGGATGAGTTTAATTATCCACCTTTTATAAAATGCATTACATTAACCAAAAATGTAAATAATTCTGTATAATTGTGTTCCTAAAGATGTAGAATTAATATTTGGGCATTGCTAGAGATTGGAATTCAGAAATAAAGGCATATCTATTACCTTTTGATTAAAATTCTCAAATTCCTTAACCACAACAAATGGAAAGTTGTTTATAAAACTATTTAACAATAACTAAATAGAGGCATATTGTAGACTGAAAAGATCATCTGGGAAATTAAGAGCGCACGTATCCCTAGAACAAAATGGCACAAATGCAGAAATGGTAAACATGACATATAAAAATAGTCAATGATACTAAACCACATGATCTTAATAGCAAACCATGCAATGTTAATAGCACACATTTTAATATTTTTTAAACAAATGCACTTTTTATTTTTGGGTTATTGGTCTATAAAATTAACATGGTTATGCCACTTTATTCCATGTTACAGACATTTCTGATTTACTGATGACATAAAAATATTGCCTTATTATTACAAGTAAAAACTAAAGCATGCAATTATAGTTAAATATACACATGCTAATTTTAAATACATTAAGACTTTATCTTTGGAGTTCAATGCATACAGTATGCGATTTGGTAAATAAAATAACACCTCTTTTTATAACATCACCATGCCTAATCCGTAACTTACTTAACTTACTTGCAATAAATTATGGAATTTAATATCTCTAATCTTTGTACATATATTAGATTAATTAAGTTCCTGACCTATTCTGGTTTATTGCCCCCACCCCAGTATGTCCTGATTCTGTACCAATTCATAAAACTTATATTTATTTTATTTTTAGCCTGCTTTCACTCCAAAGAAACAAGGCACCATAGATACAACTCAGTGAGGTAGGTATGGCTACAGCAAAAGTCACTGGCCCAGGGTTAGCAGGGAGTTTCATGGATAAGCAAAATTTGAATCTTGGTTCTCCCTCATCCAAGTCCAAAACTGCAGGGTTTTTAAAAAAACATTAATTAAAATAAATAAAATTTGATGCAAACTTATTAAATGATGTCATTTGATAGAGATGGGAATTCACATGACAGCTAGGATTACATTTGTCAACCCTACTGCTTCTATTTGTCAGTGAATATTATAGGAACTGAAAACGAGAAAGATCAAACCAGTTGGTTACCCAGTATTCTTTCCTTAAAAATATCTGTATTTTTTCAAATGTTATCCTTTTTCAAAAAACTGGAAAGATCAATTTTCAGTTATAACATTCAAACAGAGTCTGCTCCTGCAGGTAAGTTACATAAAAGTGCCCACATTAATTCAATATTTTTCATACAAATAATATACAGTGTTTTACAGTAAAAAAAAGATTGGGGTAGCAGCGAAGGGTGACTATGACACTCTAAACCCATTGAAGTTAAAATCCTATATTAACTGAATTAAAAATAAGTCCCTCTGAACTCAGTGGAACCTATTTTTGAGTAGATCTGGATAGGATTGTACTACTCAGAAATTCATTTTTTCTTTTGCAGACCACAATCCTGACTGCTTTTCCTCCTAATTATCTAATTTTTTTTAAAAAAAATTTTTCCCTGTATGTCCTAACACAACATGTGGAATTAACTTTATTATATCACCTATTGCATACCATAAGCCAATATACCTCCTAATTCACCTGCAATCAAAGGAAGCATGCAGTTATCATTTATAAATTGAATCAATACATTTATTCGTTCAGTATAGCCACATCAATGGGCACTCTTGCACCTATAGTGTCTTTTCGTAAGTATAAATAGCTGATTACAGTATTAGTGCCTTTTCATTGTGGAAAAAGAAATAATTCAATCCCAAACATAGAAAATAATTTCTCAAGAAAAAAAAAAGAGATGTCTATCTTTTTGGGAGATTTACCTATCTCAAGGGCAAATACAGTACATAAGAAAGCTGAAGAAAGCTTTATGCATGCTCAGTTTTCCTGATGTTACCCTGAGTCACATACTTCGTCTTACATCACAAACATTAAATACAGCCCATAAATCGATGGGACCAACCTGAAAAATGAAACAGAGGCTGCCTCCATGTCTCTTATGCCTGCTGTCACAGGCAAGTCCACAGAGTTGTCACAAGGTCTCCTCAGATATGGTAAATTTGGGCTTTAACCTAACAGACCTTTTTCTGATGGTGCCTTTGGGTGACAAAGAAATAGTGTCCATGATACTCAGGTCTTCATCCAATTGTTTGGCTGTGCAGTTTGGAGTGGGCACCTTCACCGTGTTGCCAAACTTTGAATAGTCTACCGAGTATTGTCCATCCTCCTCTGACACTATAGGCACAAACCTCTGGCCCCAAAGTATTTCATCCGCTAGGTAAGAGGTCCTGGCTTGGGTGGTGATGCCTGTGGTTTCTACCACCCCTTCAAGGATGACAATCACCTCCAGGTCCTCGTGGTGAGTGAGGCTGGCTGGGGCTACCTCGTACAGGGGGCTATTCTTGTCTATCACGTGGTAAATGATGAGCGGGGAGACCAGGAAGATGCTATTGCCCCCCACCGGGTTCTCCATCTGGATCTCGATCTGGTTGAGGGGCATCACCTCGCCCTCCTGGCTGGTGCTCTTCTTCACCACCTGCATGCGGATGCTGGCGCAGATGATCATGCTCTTGCGCAGGTCGCCCACGCGCAGCATGAAGCAGAGCTTCCCCCCGCGGAGCGCGATCACGGCGTGCTTGCTGAAGATGAGCGTCTCGGCGCGGTGGTGCGCCTGCGAGGTCTTCATGAAAATGCAGCCCAGCATGATGGCGTTGATCAGCAGCCCCACGATGTTCTGCAGGATGAGGATAAGGATGGCGAGGGGGCATTCTTCGGTCACCATGCGGCCCCCGAAGCCGATGGTCACCTGCACCTCGATGGAGAAGAGGAAAGCGGAGGTGAAGGAATTGATGTCGGTTACGCAGGGCACAAAGTGGGTCGCCGCCGCCTCCCGATCCCCGAGCCCGTCTTGACGGCGCAGCTGGCGGGTGCTGTGGTCCAGGTCCCCGTGGGCGAAGGCGATTAGCCACCAAATCATAGCGAAGAGCAGCCAGCTGCACAGGAAGGTCATGGTGAAGATGATCAGCGTGTGGGGCCACTTCAGGTCCACCAAGGTGGTGAAGACGTCCTGCAGGAAGCGGCCCTGCTCCCGGATGTTCTTGTGCGCCACATTGCACGCCCCGTTTTTGCCCACGAACCTGGCCCGACGCTCCCGGGTTCGGTGGCGCGTGTGATCCGGGACATCCTCGGCCAGTCGGGTCAGCACGTACTCCTCAGGGATGATCCCCTTCCTGGACAGCATGATTGGCGTAGGCTACACCCCCTCCCACCACCACCACCACCACCGACCCTGCCCCAGCTACAGCCACGTGTCCGCCACCGCTGCGGGGACGCCAGCCAGCGAAGCCCCAAGGCCTCTTCGCCGGCGCTCGCACTGCTCTGGCCCGACTCCGCCGCCCGCCAGTCCCGGCGAGCGCCGTCCGGTCCCCCCCTCCCCCAGCTGCGCACGCCAATCACAGCTCGTTTCGACTTTGGCGAGGCGGCGGCATTTCGTGACTTGCTCCTGACAGCGGCGGGCGGCAAGCCAACTAAGGGGTCGTCCGGGTTTTGGAGGAAACCCCACGCAAGGCAGTCGTCAGGTGGCGGTGGCCGCCTTGCTGGACCGCCTGTTCTCTAAGCCAGAAACAAATGGAGTCGGCAGGGGGCGCTCTCGCATCGGGAAAGCCCAGCACAAAGGTTTCCCCCGGGATCGGCGCAAACAGAACTCCTGGATGCAGAGTGGCTCCCGCCNCGCCACAGGCGCCTCTGACACAAGTGACATCAGGCTGGCCACACCTACCCTGCCCACGCTCACCCTGGCCCCCTGAAGTCAAGCACAACCCTGATGCAGCCCTCAATGAAATCAAGTTTGACACCCCTGGTGTACAAGATAAATATTTAGATTACCTTTTGTCCTGGAGAGATATGGGCATTGACATGTTTTAGCACAGGCTTCAGAGTACTGTCATAGCGGACACTTAAATTCTGTATTTGAATCTCCCCCTGATCAGGCCAGTTCTGAGGAATCTGCGCCGGAGCTAAATTAAAAAAAAAGTACACATCTGTTTGCTTGTGTATATGTACAATATATTGGAATCATTGGAAGCAAACACGATTTTTTAAAAGAATCCAGCACTTCATTAAATATAGAACTAAACAGGTTCTTCTGTAAGTCATCCAACATACTCACAAAGCAGCCCTTCATAATTTTCAGCCTCCGTTTTTATAAGACCATTGAGTCTTTTCACAGCTCCCAGTTGAAGCTCCATATCAGCCAGGTTGCGAACCATCCAATTTAGGTAATTAGACACCTAAAATCAATACCTAAGTAAGATTAGTATTTATAATGCGCATGTAAAATAGGAGATGCTTTGAAGACTATCCACCCCAATTATCTGTTCCCAAAAGAAAAGGAGGATTATACTTATGCAAAAATCTGAATATTTTGTAATTTTTCCATACAAATCTATAGCAATAAGGCTGTTCATATGAATAAAATTATTGGAAATGTATATCAGGGTTGTTGACCAAATCAATTTACTCAAGTTAATTCAGCACATGCTGTACATTTGGGAGAAAATACACATTGTATCACTTTGAATGGAAAGAACATCTTTTGTTTAACTCACTTACCATTAGAGCATAGGTTAATCCTAAACCTACAAGTCCTGAAGAGAGATTATTCTCTTCAAAACTGGTAATGGATGTAACAGCTGCAATAAGCACCACACATGCTCCAATATATTCCTAAAGATAAAAGAAATGACCTTTAGACTTTGAATTAAAGACTGAATGAAAGAAGTTTGTCAAAACCAATTTCTACCAAAGTCTTATTAAACAAATATACCATTTTAGGAATAGAGGATGATATAAAACTCTATATTGATATTACACTGTTCAAAAATAGGCAGAAAGAACCAAAAGGATGTCTATTTTCTGATTAAATACGCAAAACAATATTAGTAAACATTTTCCATTGAGTTGAGAATTAAATGAATAGCACTAGCAATAGCACTTACTCTTTATACTGCACTCTAACCATTGAACCACCATGGCTCTTAAGAATTTAAGAATAAAGTTAATATGTGTAAACATATTTTTTTCATAGGAAGAGTTTAATCTTGTCAGATTTTTCTTTCTTTAATTTAATAAATTCAATCAGCTAAGAATTTCCTGGATACAAAAACTATAATGAAATAAACTTTAGCTTCTGAATACTGGTGGGCGCTATTGCTAAAACATGGGCATCCCTTTTAAAATCAATTGGCAATCTTAAATAAGATCATAAGAATGATCAATTTTGTGTAAAAAAAGAAAAGATTTGGGCAGGGGGCATTTTTATATCTTTACACAAGTATAAGGTACTTGCCATGCGAACTTCCAGCCAACGATTGGCAGCTGTAAGGAAAAGGGAAGCGATGTTGTTAGAATCCGTATATTCAAGAAGCTTCTGTTTAAACCGGGATTCATACCTTTATATACATACAAAAAAGACAGATGAACACAGTGGTTATTATAACAATTGTGGTATTTTAACTCTCTTGTGTTGAGAGTATTCAATCCTGAAAATAGGACACACTGGACAAAATAATTATTTGTTTCATATTTTTCTTCTACTCTCTATTCATTTCATCATAAATAATTCATTGCTGATTTTATGCAGCACCTACTGTTACACTACATTTATATGGAGAGGAAAGGAAAGAGGTTAGGGGTTTGATAATAGCATGCAGAGTTGGTGAATTATTAGCCTATATTTGAAAACTCTGCAGCTATCAAAATCTGAAACTGTTAGCATGAGGTTAAATAAAGCAAAGAGGTGCTAACTAGATTTTTAACTTATTTTTTTACTACTGAACTAATTTTAGAAACTCAAGATCTGAGTTCTTTGCTTAGTGATTAGAATCCAAACTTCAAATGTCACTTCTGCAGCACATAAGGCAGCTGAAAAGAGTGTCTAAATATAGATACTGAGTTCCCTACAGAGGTTTGATGGTAAATAAAGTACAGGAACTGATAAAGGTCTAGTTCAAATTTGGGTTAGAGATGTATTAGCTAGTTTGAATTCAATTTACAAGAGTTTGCCTTGCCAGCAATTATTTTAGGTAAAATCTGAAATCTGGAGCAAACATTTTAACCCAATGATAGCATAAGGGAAGTAGCACGAGGGAAATGACTTGTTCCAGCAAAGCTACATACAAAATTTCATTATTGGTTAGGGAATTTTTATCTTCTTCCTATAAGGGGAAAACTAGAAATTAAAAAGAGCAAGTAATCAACTTTAAAAATATAATGAAACAGTAGGTCTAATTTGCTTGTCAACATACAAATGTGAAAAAAATAGCTCATTAGCGGGAAAATAACTAATTAGTAGGAAAAAATTTCCAACAGCCTAACAAATGTGTCATAATTATAGTAATTAAAACATAAATATAGAACTTATTTTGTTGCTACTCAGGGAGTTCATAAAACTGAAAATAGTTTGCAGACTATGGTGACTCAGTGCACATCAGCATAATTACTGATGCTACATGCAGGATATAGGATGCTACACTTTTGGAAACTGGAATTTTCTATTGGAGGCATATTGTGTTGTTTCTGATCCTCCCCCCACTCCAGTTCACAGACATGTACTGGTTCACAGCCCATTGGGAACTGGGCCAAGTAAGCAGTGGGTGAGCACGTGAAGCTCCATTTGCACATGGGATTAGTTTGGTGTGCAAAAACATCTCCTCCCTCTCCCACCTACTGCCACCACCGGTGCTGGTCTGTGGAGTCAGAAAGGTTGAGGACTACTGCTCCAGTTCCTAAATTTTAGGATTAATTTTAAATTGAAGTATACAACATACATTTCACAATACATTCGATTGCATCATCTATGCAATTTAATGTGAATGAAAATATTAATGACTCAATATAGAGGAAAAGAAAATGTTTTCCTAAGAAAATGTTCTCTTAGGTTAATGAAACACAGGGAGTTCCAGAAAGAAGATGCTAAATATCTAACTAGATAGAAGCAACTGACATTTTTCCTTAACTCTATTCTTGTGTCCCTAAAATCATTGTGTTCACATGGTAACCAAAATTGGGAGTAGCAACTCCATTGCTAAGTGGACGAACTTGTGACTTGCAGTGTATTTATGACATCACTTCCCATCCAGCCATTAAGTGAACCACTTAAGCAAAACAGCATTTACTGCAAAATGAAATTTTACTTCTATATTCTCGATTAACTCTGCTTGTCACAAGCTAGTTTTAAAAGTATACAATGATGATTATGTGACTCTGGGACATTGCAATGGTTATAAATATATGCCAGTTGTGAAGGACCCAAAGGGTGACCATAGTATGGTTGGAAATGTGAGGGCTGGTTGCAAAGCTATTTTTTAAAATACCATTTTAAGCCTGAGTAGTCATCAAAGAAATCAGTTGGTAAGCAAGGGCTAACTGTATTAGAAACTGTGTGTCATGCTAAATTATCTGCAATTCATAATTCAAGTTTTGGCTTTTAAAATGTGATGGAATAGTACTTTAATAAAAAAGGAGAAAGTTTTTTTTATCTCAGAGAATTATTCAAAGATAATACTTTGTTATACATGCCAAAAGATTAACCTCTCAGCAAGTTTGACAATATCCTTATGTAATTAAATATTACATAAAGTTTTAGTTTAACTGATGAATTAATGGCTTAAATCCAGCAGGAGCTTAATCTTGCATTATTACTTACATTGCTTCAGGCAATTGGTTCTATGACGACAAGAATTTATGCCAGTCATTAAAATCTGGGCACAACCAGTGTATTTCTTGCAATATTAGAAGAATGCAGAAAAATACCTGAATGCTCGTATAGTTGTTAGTCCTTCCACTGTCTCTGAAAAGTGAGAAAGTAATGGAAGCTGTGTACTGTCATCCAACTGCTGCAGATCCCTAAAGAAAGCACAAATTAATTTGTGAGACATATGTGAGAACATCCATTTTCCCCTGTAATACTTGAAATTCAGAAGCACTTCACTCTATTTAGCAAGCAGATATAAAATATACCTACAGTAACTCGGTGACCCAGAAATGTAATTTTACAATGAGACCCTTTTAAAATTGTAAAAATAAGATATAGGGTCCCAAGAGGGTATTATTCTGAACTGAATATTAATGAGATCAAAAGTGATTAGTTGTGACTTTTTTTTCATTTGGGTTTCCAGAAGGATTCACAAAGACACACTTAATAGCTTCATATAAAGGCACCCAGTTTTTTCCGTACAGTAATATATTTTGGAATTCTTACCTTGATGCTACTCTAAAATATTTCTGGATGAAATAACACATGATGGCAAGAGGTACGAGAGCTATCACAAACATAGGTGTTACATATGAAATCACTGCAAGAGCTGATAAACATAGCAAGGTAGAACGACTCAGGCACTCCAGGGTGGCAGGAATATGCTAAATAGACAGGCACACACAAAAAAGAAAAAAAATGTTACCTGTGATGTGCTTGAATTAAATCTTTGAAATCAGCAGTGCTATTTGATCTTCTCTAGTTCAAAAGGAATTAACAAACACTTTGAATATTTGACTTTAGGTCTTTCACCAAAATACATTCTATTGAAATCTTTTGCCTGGTGGGTTGCAGTAGATTTTGGAAATAAATGAATCTGGTGCAAAAAGGCAAGATTTCACCTGATGTATTAAGTGGGTTATAATGGGTGCTAAGGATCTGGTGCAGAACTCTGGAAAAAGTCAGATGACAAATAAGAGCAAGGAAAAGATGAAATGGCCACCTGTTAGACAGCTTAGAATTAGGAAGGAAATCAGAACTGAAGGCTTCTAGGGAGGAGATGGATTACCCCAAAGAGTAGAGAGGCAATACATGGAACTTAGATAAATTAGGTGTGGAGCTATGGGTACACCCAGAGACACGGGGATACACACACCTGCAGAGGAGAAGTAGGAGATGAGCAGAAGAATCTGAACCTTGTAAAGTAATGTCTGATAAGTTGAATTAAAGTTTAAACTGCCATGACCCTATTGCAGAATAAATATACTTTGCTTAAGAGTCAAGCTATAAGAAGATAATCTAGGGATGAAGCAATTTTATTGGTCAATATTCAAAAGTCCTCCTCCAATAGCAGAGAGACTGCTTTGGAGTCAGAAGACAAATGGGTTCTCAATGACAGCAAAAACAAAACAAAACCCAGAAATGCTAAAATGAGATGCAAAAGGGCAATCTTTGATCCACTACATTCAATATGTATTCATTTGTCATAGAAATCAAAGGAAAATCTCTTGGCAGTCCCTGGAATGCCTGAGGGCATAAAAACTACTGTGCAGTGTAACCAATGGCAAGTCAACCACAAACTCTGTGCTTATCCTATCTTTAACCAGCTACAGATTTGGAAGCAGTGAAGGAGTTGCCATTTTATTTACGTCTGTGACCTCACTTAGGAATGTTCTGCACTATTTACAACAGCCTCTAAACATGTTTACTTAGAAACAAGATCCACAGCATTCAGTAGGATTGATTTCTGAATAGTATGATACTGTTGGGTTTTCATTTTAAGAATAAAAAATGAAGATATCCTCATGTAAATGTTATATATCCATGTTTTGACAGTGACATGATAGTATATATGTGATATTATTTCACATGAATGTTATTTGTATGGTCCTAATATGATCTGAGTGTGGCATTCATTCTAATTATTGCTGGGTGGGGGATTGTATTGAAATTCAGTACAGTACAAAATCCATTGTCACTTAAGTACCTGATCAATAGTGTTACAATCTGCTGAAAATCTGTTCAAAATACTTCCCAGCGGTGTTGTTTCAAAAAATCTGTAATAGATAATAAAAGCAGAATTTGATATTAAGATTAAAAACTGATTTGTACATATTTCAGACTAGGCCTTTAAAAATTATTTTATTTAGCAATTGTTAATGAAAAAAATACCCAATATTCAATAAATTTTACAGAATTCCAAATAATTATTCTAATATTCCTACATTTTGCAAGTACAAATCGTTGCTAGACCAAGGAAATGATTAGTAAACAGTTTGCATTAAGGAAAGAAACAACAATAAAAATTAACATTGGAGATTAAGTAAAATAAAGGAATAAAAGCATGATATTTGCTTTTAATTAAATAACGATTCCAAGAAGCAGTCTAAATGTTCAAAATTATTTAAATTGTTTAGAGACTGGATTATTTTATCTTTAAATTCTCATTTATATCAAACAGGAAAACAATTTAACAAGCCAGAGAGAAGGCATACTGGTTTAGAATTCTTCTCAATGACGTTACAGATACTCAGACCTCGACTGCCTATTAGATAGTAGCAAAGGTTACAGAAAATTCAAATTCTTTGCAACGAAATAGGAGTTACATGACCAAGTTCCAGTTACCCTTCTGTCATGCTAACTTTCAATGGAGTTCAATGGATCAGGTCATTCAAGCTTCTAAAGACCATAAATTCTGTAAGGACATGGCAATATGCTTCTTTTCAGTGCTTACATTATGATGGTATAACCAGCATAAATGGACTATCCAATAATGGAATTTCATGACATACCATATTATACAGTAAAAATATAGGATTTGGAATATATTTCTAATTTTAACATTCACAAAAACTACTTTATTGCCACGTTATGTTTCTTCTTGAACATGCACACACGCACACACACACACGCGCGCGCGCACACACACACACACACACAAAATATAATATACTGGTGAAAAGAAACCATCTCTTTTAAATTTTATTTATTAAACTTGCTTCCAATCTCCATATATACAATTGGCTCTCCAATGGTTTCTATTTAATTCCATGAAGAAAAATATTAAAAAAGAAAGGAATAGACTAAGAATTGCAAAACATATTGAGCTGGATTAAAATTACAGATGATTTGATTATGTTGATTACATTAACTTGATTAAAGTAAGATTATATTAGATTAAGTGGTAAATAGGAACATATAAACAGGGTGAAATAAATTATGAGATCATTAGTGATAAGGACTCCCCATGTCATCATTTGTTTAATAAAATGAGCCCATTGAGACAAAAAAATGTATACTTTCCTAATACAATTCTACAGGTTGCACAAAGAATGAAATTAAATTTACATAATTGAACATCATGGGTTATTTAAAGATTGCACATAACTTTATTAAGATAACATTTTGTTTTCTTGTTTCATATAATACAATACCTCATTGGGGCCAGAATAATTTTATTCAGCAGACTGCAGTGAAGCTTCTTGGCAACTTTTAAACCAGTCCATTCTACTGCTATGGATGTTACAAGGCATAATATAATCCCAACACAACAAAGAATGCTGAAGATCTTTGAATAGGAAGAATGGCTAAATTTGGATTCCTTAAAAAAAGGAGGAAAAAAAAGACAATTGCAAAACTGTAGTTATTCTGTGACAGGTTTATTTTAATATGGTCAGACCAAGATAATTATTTCCAGCCAAGTTCATCTTTTCTTGACTTTGGAACTCAATTTTCAAAAAGCACTGGATATGGCCCGAGATTAAAAATATGTTTTATCATTCTTAATAAAATGGGAAAAGATAAAGTTTTCTTCATAGCCAGTTTTAAGACCTTATGACTTCACCGATATCTCCATACTTTCTTGGCAACTATAGCCAGATGGTTTTGGATTGTCATCATTTTTTTTCTTTCCAGTCCAGCCAACAATTGTGGTATTTTGTAAATAGTCCACCCTCCAAGTATTAACCAGGTTTAGCTTGATCACCAAGATATACCAGACTAAGTACCAGACTAAGTGTATCTAAGTGTGGAACAGAGGGAGGGAACTCATCTTGATGAAGTCATGCTATAAAAGATGATGGGAAGAACAAAAATGGAAAGGTGAGTTTTGAACAAATACCTGACAAAAAGAGCAGTTTTTCCCTGTCTCAGAAGAAATAGCATCAGATGTCCACAAGGCTAGCCAATAGTCAATGGACACCATGACTGAATGTTTTAGCAGTTGAGAAAAGATCAACAGAGGCAAGAAGAGAAGGCCTGCTGAGCTGAGATACTTTCCACATGCTTGCCATGACATTTCTGTTCTTCGATGAAGGATAGAAGACAAGTTGTCATCATCATCACTTTCAGGCATCTCTTCTATAAATTGACAGGAAGAGAACTAATGAGCTGTAAGAAAATTTCCTTATTGCCTATTATCTAAACACTGATAAACAGTAACGGATGTTAATGAAAATAAATCTTTTTGTAAAACTAATTTACCATCCTCCTCTTCTTCATCTTGGAGAAGGACTTCTTGAGAATGCACTGTATTTTTAATATTCTTATCTAATACAGTTTTTCTTTCCATCAGAGTCTCCTAAAAGGTAGGGAAAACAAGATAATTTGAGTACCACCATTATTTTTAATATATTTCAAAATTGTTTGGATATTAAAAATTAAATGAGACAAATAAATTTGAAGTGATGAATTTTTAATTCCATTAAGGGACTCCCAGGACATAAATTGCATATGTCATTTGAAGTTAATGAAGATATAATGTTATGGTCTTATAATGGCTCAGCCATCAACATGGATTAAGAAATCAAACTATTGTATGAGTTTCAGAAACTGGATTGGAATATCATTACTCTTATGTTACCAAGTTTAAAGATAATGGACAGGGTTGAACTTGTAAGACATAAGTTGCATTTGGAAACTCATGTAAACTGAACCATTCCAATCTTCTGAACTTTACTTTATAAATGAATCACAATTTTGTATACTGTGTTGCAAGGGAAAAGATTCACACTAGAAGCATTTCAGAAGCACCCTAAGTGGAACTGGGAAGAAGCAACACAGTAGATTCATCATGACATCTAATGTTCAAAGTGTATTTTTTCATTGTTGTTATTGTATCCACTGTGGTTCAAGAATGCAAAAACAAACAAACAAACAAAAAACACCCCTCCATTGAAATTTTAAAAAAAATTCACTGTCTCTAAGCCTAGAATTCCTTTGGTCTATAAGACTGTGAATCCAGCAGAACCCGATCATAAAATATTGGGATTTTCCATCAAGTTATGTGTAGTGGTTGACATTGTTGGTAGCAACTTTTCACTGTCAAAGATTTCTGGACTGATGGAAAACAGTCACTGCATTGCAGCTGCAAAGAGGCCATCTTCAACAATTGTAATCGCTTTCAGCAATCTTGTTCAAAAAGTTATGATTGCATTGTTAAAATGCAAAGTTCCAATTTTCATTTTAATTATGCATGGTTCACTTCACTGACATTTTTTTTTTAGTATTCACATGACAGAATTTTCCAACATAAATGTTAGCTTGTTGAAATGCATGAATGTAGGAAGGTAGGAAAAATTGGGGGAAAAAATTTGGATCTTTTTTTATAATATAGTATTTCTGACTAGGATTAAGTTT